AATGCGTTTAGTGTTAAATTACCTTGAACTTGCTAATTTCAGGCGCAAAAGAAGTTTCTATTAAATGCAGCGGCCAATACATGATCCAGAGAGAGCTTAGCGCGGGCCTTTATGTGGATGAAAACACTAATACTAAGAAATGTAACTCTACTTCTATGGAATAATATTATGCAGAATAACAAGCTTAACGTGATATTCTGTGAAGCATATGAACTATATACCCTAAAACTTCAAAAGTAGGAGCTGCAACCGTAAATTTAGAGATAAATTTACTTACAGTAAGAGTACCGTCACTTCAAACGCAGAAAGATAAGCGTCCACGTTTCTACGTGTTTGTGTCTTTTTTGGCATTCTTTATTGTCGATGTTCGTATGTATATATGCGACTTGTTGCGGTATACCTTTGAGAAATCAATTTCTCAGTGTTGTGCAGCAACGTGCGTCTCAAACATAGTCTACTCTGACATCCATTCATAATAAAATAATAATAATAATAATAATAATAATAATAATAATAATAATAATAATAATAATAATAATTTAATAATACAACCACTACACAGGGTTTTTTGTGAAGTATACAGGTTTTTTAAGACCTATGTCTAATATATTTAGAAATTAGATAAATCCGGCATCTGCATACTTTCTGCGGCGTTCTCTTTACTGTGGAATAAGACATCTTCAAATGTGTAAAAAGAATAATTATGACAGTAATTATAGAGATTAAAATGATTAACTTTTTAACCAGCGGAAATAGCCGATTGAGTCCGATGGGCGAATGAAAGTCCTCTTTAGGAATACTCCATAAAAGCTTTGAAATATCGGAAAGGTGGCCACTGGTAAGCACGCACAGCGATGAAATCGGGCCAATTTATGGAGCGAAACAGAAACCGACGCGCAAGACAGCGCATCTACCATTCGCTTCAACAACGCCCTCAATGGCGATGTTGTTTCCCTCACACTGAAGGAGAAGAATGTGTGAGCATCGACAAGCGGCCATAGAGCGAAGTGTCCAGACATATGGTTGCTAACAGCGAGAGAAATAGTGTCGTCACTGAAAGTGTTGTCGAAGTGAAGGGTATATGCGCTGCCTTCCGCATCGTTTTAAGTTTCACGGCATGAATTGACCCGCTTTCATCACTCTGTGGTGATTACCAGTGGCTTCCTTTCCGAAATTTTAAAGCTGCTATGGACTATTCTTAGATAGGACATTAATTCGGGCAGAGAGCTTGATCGGCTATTTTCATTAGTTAAATAGTTTGTTTTAATATCTAAATTTTCTGCCGTAAATATTCTTTGTACATATCTGAAGATGCATTCAGGCAAAGTAAAGAGGATGCCACAGCTACCACGTAGGGGCCTCGTTTTTTTGTAATTTTTAAATAATATTGTTAACATTTCTTGAAACACGAGGTGGTGCACACGTGCCGTGCTTGGTAAACACATTCATAACTCTTGGCTGTACGTCCAGCCGCAAAACAATTTTCAAAATGATTTGACCATCATGGTATGTGTGGTGTAATGTCCCAAAACCACCATATGATTATGAGAGACGCCGTAGTGGAGTATTCCGGAAACTCCGACCACCTGGGGTTCTTGAACGTGCACCCAAATCTGAGCACACGGGCCTACAGCATTTTCGCCTCCACCGAAAATACAGCCGCCGCCACCAGGATTCAATCCCACGACTTGCATGCGGGCCAGCAGCCGAGTACCTTAGCCACTATATACAAGCGTGACGGGGCAAATGTATGACCAGGTAACGATGAGCTGCCACTTGAGCTTCGTTTAAAATACACGAGCTCGGCTTCAGCTGTTTGGCTCAGGAATCGAGCTCAGGAGCCGTGAGTCATGACAACGTCCGTGACAGTGTCCTTGTTTCTATTGTTGCGCTGTTAACCAACTTCAAGATGAATCCCAACCAACTGGCCCAACTTGCCATTTTACAGTTCCACAATATGTTTCATAACATTGTTCATAAGGATCCGTAACGGTCTTTCATTGCATTCAAAAAATTAAAAGTGGAAGTATCGCGGTAAAATTTTACACAAAAAGAAGACTAGTTTTCTCATAACTGAATTATGAATTCTCTTAGCAGGCTGATTGCTTTCCGTCAACAGTGGATGCATGATCTCGGAAGCAGCCCTTTATCGAGTGTAGTCTCGCCTTCCACTACGGCGTCTCTCATAATCATATGGTAGTTTTGGGACGTTAAACCGCACATATCAATCAATCGAGTGTAGTCTCCGATATATGCGAAAACGCTGTTCTTATAAAGCAAACTATAGCGCAAAAAAATGTCCTCTCTCTGCGCTGGCCTGTATGGAAGGCGCACCAATGTCCACTTGCGTTAACAGCTTCGGTTGCAACTATTATCGTTTTTCGCTGAATTTCAATGCACCCTCACTTTGGAAACTTATAGCGTGAGAAACGCGCTAATACAGTCCCTGGAGTCTCTGGATGTATGTATGCACGTTACATGACTTTGGTTTTCACGCAGCAGTGCAAACAAAACGATAAAGCAACAGAAAAAGACGCACGCGTTTCTGCGTTGTTCCTCAAAGTAAATAAAACTACCATAGCTGCACTTTTGGACCTACATAAACTTCTGCACATGCGCGTTTTATTTGTAGCGTGGCTATTATACTGTAGCGCTCGTCTCATCATGCAAGAGCGCCATTTACCAAAGCGTGCTTGTATGACGTGCCACGTGTGGTAGTCTATCCTCAAAGCACTGCACATGTACTGAGCCTCGCGTTGGTCTATGTAGAGTATCGATAAAAGCACCTTGCGGCATCTGCTCCCGTGTTGATTGATGCTATAGGCTTGCCAGCGACTCTGCAATTAAAGTGAGTGCACCAGAGGAGATGGATCTCCTCCCTGTAGACAAGGGATCATTCTAGCAAAGAATCAAAGCTTCGAAGCAGTGCATGGAGATGTCTTGCTATACGGGCGCCCAGAAATAGGGCTTCACGACGAAGACTTGCTGACGTGTGCGAGTGACGACCGAGATTATTGAAATAGGACAAGGGCACCATATGTCACCACTTTTGCCTAAGCTCGGTTAGTTCTTCACACATTCCTGAGCTCTCTGGCACCGATGGGCAGTTAGGCATGACGATGCACTCTGAAGGCACGCAGATGCCGCAGAGGCTTTTGTTTGCCGGCGGCAGAGAATGAATAATCCTTTTTTCCAGCCTGAAACATTGAGAAAGTTAAACTATTACTCAGAATCGCATCGTTATAGTGCAGGAAATCTGTGAGCACGTTGGCTCTATGCGGACTAATGAGGAACAAAAACTTCGGTTGTTCCATGATTATTCAGTGCCAGCGGAATCAGTGCTTTTCCGGAGTTCGTCCTACCACAGCCAGATATTTTTAGCCCGAGTTTAAAAATATGTCCACACGTGCAATTACAACACGACCAAATGCAGTTGTTGACCGTTGTCTGGAGTGAATCAGACTATTTTTGTGTTGTGATCAATTGTTCAATTAGACCCTCTTCACGTAACTTCAGATGGAACAAAGATGAGTAAAAGATTTCAATGAGAAAGTTCTATATCGTTTTACAAAACGTCCAACTAGACAGTTTCGAAATTTACATCTGTTAATTATTTTGTTTCTTGCTAACTACATATTCCCGCAAAATAAAAAAAATACCACGTGACAAACCCACTGGTGCGCCTACACGCGCCGTGATTCTAGTTCTCACAAACGTTCCGTATATACAAAAGTTACGCCATCCTTGGTTACGCTTCCTTCACACCGGTTCATCACAGTGGTAAACAGTCACCAAGGTTATAGATTTTATGGCCGATAGCAAGACGGGTTCATTGCAAAGCCACCACGATCGTTGCGACCCTGTCGCACAGTCGGGCAAATGCTATCGTGGATTGCTATGTGGGGTTTAACGTCCCAAAACCACCATATGATTATGAGAGACGCCGTAGTTGGGGGCTTCGAAAATTTCGACCACCTGGGGTTCTTTAACGTGCACCAAAGTTTGAGCACACGGGCCTAATAATTTCCGCTTCCATCGGAAATGCAGCTGCCGCAGTCGCGATTCGATCCCGTGACCTGCGGGTCAGCAGCCGAGTATACCTTAGCCACTAGACCACCGAGGCGGGGCCAAATGCTATAGTCGTTCGTACGCTGAACGCTATATATATAGGGAGCACTAGAATCATCGTGTGCGCTGACGTGTCTGCGTGCTTGTCACGTGGTATCTTTTGCATTTCGCTGGCATTGGTAGTTAGTAGGAAAAACACTAAAAATTTACAGATATAAAGCTTGAAACTGTCTAAACAGACGCTTCGCAAACCAATGAACAACTTTCTTGTTGGAATGTCTGACCTATTTTAGTTGCTTAATAAGTTAGACATTAGAAGTGGCCTATCTAGGCAAATAATAAGAACACAAAAAATAATTTGACCACTCACTCCGGGCAGCAGTCAGCAAGATGCATTTGATCGCTTCGTCATTGCGTGTGTTGGCATATTTTAAAACTCTGGCTAAAGATAGCCGGAGCACCCTGTGTATTGTGTTAACCGCCGATTTTCTATTGATCACATAGCTCCTGCAGAATCAAACGCTAACAAAAAAAAGGCCATGAATGATTGCGAGTCATAAAGAATAATGCATGAACTGCATTACAGTTGTCCAAATTTCCTTAAGTATTCTGCCGCTTGCTCGTCTGCGACGTCATTGCTGCTGCTCTGTTGTGCTATGGGTGCTCGTGGGTAAAGAATGCCCGTTGTAAGCATGCGACGCCGACCGGCAGGTGCGGTGCGATATCGATACTGGGACTATAATCATGTTCCGGGAATATGAAGAAAAGGTACAAGATGCATGCAAGGGATGACAACGAACATTGAGTGTATTTATTATTAGTGTTTCTTTTTGATGAAGAGCTTTTACTAGCTTTTGTCTGCGATAGAAATGTTGCATGTTTATTTGCACCACGCCGCCGCAATCTGATCGCGGCGTCAACTCCTGACGCAGAGTCTCGGGATCCGTCGGCGCTGCTGTACCGGGACGACGGGGCGTCGACAGAGCCAGTGGTCGGCGGCTCGTTTTATGGCCGAGGCCGCCTGAGCTTCTCGAGACGTGATGCCCCCAGAGGAGTGTACATGCTGGAGTTCGACTCGGACTCGGCCGACACCAGAGTGCGTGTGTACGGCACCTCGGACGCTGACAGCCATTACCCGTTCCCACTGCTGCCAATTAAGCCTAAAGTGGAAATATTACAGGTGAGTATACGCTAGCCTATTTCTAAAGACGAGACATATTGGGAAAGTAAGGGGCGTTTATGTCTGATAATAGGAGGGTCAGAACAAAATTGTACATATGCAGGGCCATGAACTGATTCCTTCTGTGAGCACTAAAATTATTGTTGGTAATCCACTTGTCGGTGATTGCAGCTCACAATGTTTGCTGAATTCCACTCATGCCAGTTGCTGACTCGTTTGTTTTTTTGTTTTTTTTTTTGTGCGGCAAGTCTTCATCGGATACTGAAATTCATCGAACGTTGTCTTTAGCTTACAGATCACGGCATTGAGGGACGGAGAGATTATAGCAACGCAAACGTGCATGGTGAAAATCAAAGGCTAGGCTGAATACTCAGATCCATGAAATATTTGTACAAATTAGCGAAAAACTTATTTGGTCGATGACTGATGGTTAGTGTTTTGACTGGCATGTACCGTCTTGTTGCACACTGTACTATTTGATTGACTGCATGATTAAACGCCATATATCGCAAAATGCGTTTAAGTGGGATACTTCAAAAGACTACCGACCAACGCAGAGAGGAAAGAATGACAAGTGAGGGACCATTTTCGGACAGCTATCGACGAAACTGTGACGGCTTGATTTCTCATATTGGGATCAGTCATGAGATATCAATATACTGCACTAACGCAGAAACAAAAAGAAATAGTCAATGCATTCGCGCCATTATTCTTCACCTGAACAATTAAAAAATCTAGATGCGGCCCAACTTGTCAACTAGTTCAATTCTCAGGCGGCGAACTTCCACGTAGGTAGGTTAGAGCAGCTAGTGCAGGGTCACCAAAAGTGCTTCGAAGTGAACGCACTTACGAAAACAACAATTAGGGAGGTTTGTAAGAAACTGAAGCCATTATTGAAAAAACATTTTCCAACCAAAATCTTTTGTCTATATAGCCCTTGCTTTGTAAATACCGCGCACATGCACCTGTCAGCGTGCGCCAGTTTTTGATTGGGCCAGAAACATTCAGAAACGTGGCCAGAAACATTCATCTATGGCAAGCCGGCAGATATATTTATTGTCACATGGGAGCGATTCTGGCCTAATATTACGACAGACAGTGAATTTTATCGTAGTAAATGTCATATTTTAGTGGTATCATGGTGAGAATATGCGCCACCGGTAAACAGCACCGATGTTGCATGCAGTGGCATAAAGCTGGTGTCCAGTCAATGAAGATGCGCAAGCTTTACTTACACCACCGCCAGTAGTGATGGAACTCTGAAACAGATTGGATCAGTGATGGTATCTATTGATTGATTGATTGATTGATTGATTGGTTGATTGATTGATTGATTGATTGATTGATTGATTGATTGATTGACTGAATGATATGTGGGGTTTAACGTCCCAAAACCACCATATGATTGAGAGACGCCATAGTGGAGGGCTCCGAAAGTTTCGATCACCTGCAGTTATTTTACGTGCACCCAAATCTGAGCCCACGGGTCTACAGCATTTTCGCCTCCATCGAAAATGCAGCCGCCGTAGTTGGGATTCGATCCTGTGACTTGCAGGTCAGCAGCCGAGTACCTTAGCGACTAGACCACCGCGGCGGGGCGATGACGTCTGTGCATCCTATATAAATTGTAGGCAACAGAACGCATTATGCTCGAAGATCGCGGATTATTTTTGTTTGTGCACTACTGCCAGCCTTAATCGGTCCTACAGGAGTTTTATCAAAGTTACTGTTGCAACTAATAGATATACACTAATCACACAGACAATAGGACAGCTTGAATGCTCGGCAGTCCGCGTCTGTGATGAACATAATTATCCCGTCTGTGCGTGTTTCAGCAAAATAGTATGGCCGCATGCTCGCGTATCAGAACTCACGCTGCCAAAACTAAGCAAACTTGCAGTTAATGTACAGAGCTGTACAGCAGCCGAAACAACCATAGATGATAACGAAAGAAGCAATAATAACCCAGAGTAACTCGACATCCTACCAGTAACGACAGGGAAAGTAAAAAAAGTTCTAGAAGAAATGCGGAGGGAAAGCCGCTGTTGAGGATAAGGTAACAATAAACCTGTTCAAAGATGGTGGAGAAATTGTGTTAGAAAAACTGGCCACCTTATATACGAAGTGTCTCTTGGCAGGACGGGTACAAGAATCTTGGAAGAACGCCAACATCATCTCAATTCATAAGAAAGGAGATGTCACGGACTTGAAAAATTACATCCCGATAAGCTTACCGTCCGTTCTGTGCTAACTATTTACAAAAATAATAGCTAATAAAATTAAGGCGGTATTGTAGTTCAATCCACCTAAGGACCAAACAGGATTTTGTACGGGCTACTCCACAATAGACCATAATCATACTATCAACCAGGTGATAGAGAAATGCGCGGAATACAACCAACCCTTATACATAGTCTTCATATAGATTACGAGAAAGGGTTTGAATCAGTCGACACATCAGCAGTAATGCTGGCACTACGGAATCAGGTCATCGACAAACCCTACATAAACATACTGTAAATCTGCAGCGGACCCACAGCCAGCATAGTTCTTCATAGGGAAAGCAACAGAATGCCAATACGGAAGGTTGTAAGGAAGCGGGACACGATCTCCCCAATAGTATTCACCGTCTGTTTACAGAAGGTTTTCAGGGGCCTAGATTGGGAAGGTTTAAGGATAAGATTTTATGGAGAGTATTTTTGTCGCCTGCAATTCGGTGATGACAATGCCTTGATGAGTAACTCAAGGGTCGAATTACAGCTCATGATTACTGAACTGGACACAGAAAGCAGAAAAGTAGGTCTGAAGATTAATATGCACAAAACTAAAGTAATGTGCAGGTCTCGCCAGAAAACAGCGCTTTGCGATAGGTGAAGAGACGCTGGAAGTTGTAAAGGAATATGTCTACTTAGGACAAGTAACCGCGGAGCCGAACCACGAGAGAGAAGTAACGAGAAGAATAAGGATGGGGTTCACCATATTCAGCAAGCATTCTAAAATCATGAATGGTAATCTGCCACTAACCCTCAAAAGGAAGGTATATTACAGCTGTATCTTGCTGGTACTTGCCTACGGAGCAAAAACCTGGAGGCTTACAAAGAGGATTCAGCCTAAAATGAGGACGATGCAGCGAGCGATGGAAAGGAAAATGATGGGTGTAACTTTAGCAGACAAGAAGAGAGCAGAGTGGGTCAGGGGTTAAGGATATCATGGTCCATGGAGGAGGAGGAGGAGGAGGAGGAGGAGGAGGAGGAGGAGGAGGAGGAGGAGGAGGAGGAGGAGGATATTAAGTGGTAGTGGAAATCAAGAAGAAATGGACCTGGGTCGGGCTCGTAGCACGTAAGCGGGATAACCACTGGTCATTAAGGGTTAAGGGTAAGTGACTGAATTTTTTAGACGGCAAATGCGTAAGAGGGAGACAGAAAATTGGGTGGAGGGACGATATTAAGAAGTTTGCAGGTATAACGTGGCAGCAGAAAGCACCCGATTGGGCTGATTGGCGGATCATTCAAGAGGCATTTTGCCCAGCAGTGGGCGTAGTCAGGCTGATAATGACAACAGATGCCGGAGATATATGGGATATATGGCTAAAGGTTCCATCAGTAATCTGCCTGTAAAGAAGAACCTTCACTACAAAAGGCGTTCATTACTGCGAGGCTGTGTTTTAAGCAAAACAAGTACGAATGTAGTAGCCTAAATGCTTCTTTTTAATTAATTCGGACTCGGGTATACCTAATTGTACATTGTCATGTATTGTTATGAAATATACGAAGTTCAGCTATTTGACATTGCTTACTGACAAAAATAAAAGTATTTTTACTTGTCATCCTCTCGACTTACTCCTTAATTATTTAATTCGAGAAATGGCAAGGCTGGCCACGCATAGAGCCTGCTGTTTTATAATTACAGGCACGCAAAATCCAGTATACTGCGAAGCACAATACACTGTTGAAAGTCCATAAATATCAAAGCAAGTCAAAAATCATCTACACTTTTCATTCTACATTTTAATAATGTGAAGCTAGGGTTATACGATGCACATAAATTTTCTATTATTCTTCTTTTTTATCAATGCGTTTGACCCAACGGTCAACGATCTTACGTATTCTTTCCAAATGAAATGTTTTCGGTTGGTCGTGAAGCCAGTTTTGCACCACATTTTGCACGTCTAAATCGACCGAGCAAAGTATTCTCGAGTGACTCAAACAGGCGAAAGTCACATGATTCTATGTCTGGGCTGTAAGGAGAGTGTTTCAGTAACGATTTTTATCTTGTTGATTGTTGCAGTTTTTAATGAGCCGTGTGTTCCCCTGCAATGTCATGCAACAATAAAACTTTCTTCAACCACAAACCATGGAGTTTGTCGCAAATCGATTGTCACGTCTGCAGCACATTGCAAACTCTCGATCCCCAAAAATGTTGTTTTACGTAATAGTGCACTTCTCCCACATTGCGAGGATAGCGTGCGATGAGTGTATGAACCTTTGACGCCCTCTGAATACAGGAAATGGATCACTTCTCGGTGTTCCGCTTTGGTGGAAACTTCCAATGTAGCAGTCAGTGTATACTAGCAACAGAAGGAAGAAAAATGGAGGAATTAAGGTAAAAATTTGACAGCATTGCCACAGCAGTAACAATGAAATATGCGAGGACAGAAGACAAACTGCGCAATATCAGAAAACTTAAGACAGAAGTGTAGATAATTTCTGACTTGACCTCATAAAAACGGCAATACGTAAACAAAACAAGGCAATGCATCACGTACAAAACTAACATCACCAAACTACAATAAAGATATTGCAATGTGCAGATAAATGAAATGTGAAAATCCACAGTAACTTTACAGGTTTACTATGTGTCCGATAATTTTGCTGAGCATTCGAGACATTCTCAGTTAGTTGAGGCATGACGCAAAACACTTTTTTATCACGTTACAACTTGTGATTGAGCTTGAATGCTACGTGTTTAATCACTAAGACAACACAATTTCACCTGACCACATCACAATGATGGTGCTGATATTCGCAGGTACGCAATGGTCGTGTGCTATTCACGTGGAAGCCAAGCCCATCTGAAAGTTCGGCCCACCAGGACGTGCAGTACTGTGTGGCGGCCAACCGCAAGGAGAACTTCCACACCAAGTGCGCCGTTGACAGCGCCCTGCGAGGCGACGTGCCCAGCCCGCCCCATCCTGATTCGGGCTTCGGCTTTTGGTGGGAAAAAGCCGCCCGCCGTAAACTAGCTCTCAGATCGCGCGAAATACAGCGTTCCGTCCGGCCACAGCGCGACGTCGTTTTCGAGTGCGTAGGCCGTAGGACTTGGCACAGCTTCGCCGACCTCGAAGTAGACCAAAGGTACTACATTGATGTGTTTGCGATAAACGCAAAAACAAATTCGAGTACGGCTTTCCCGGGAACCAGCGTGGTCGCCAGAAGTGTGGGAAACCAGCGTATCCAGGACAATCAGCTTGTCCGAATTGTGCTCGACCAGCGGGACAACTTTGCCCACGTAGCCAAATACTCGGTGAATGCCAACGTGCCAACAATGTGGATGTTTGTTCAATCTTGTTCGGGCCCTGGTCCTGTACAGCTTTCAGTCACGTTGCGCAAAGCCAAGGTGCTCACGGCAGAGGTAATGGACACCAGGACGTTGACCCTGAACCACCCGTCTAACGGAACGTACATCATCAAGGTATCATCAACCGTCCCCCAGTTACGCAGAGTTCACCTTCTCGTCAGCAAGAAGTACCACAAGTTTCCGTTTCCCACGCTGCCAGACGACAGTGGCGTAAAAGTGATGGGCTCATTGACCACCTGCAACTCAGTCACACTTGCCTGGAAGGCCGCTCTCGATGAGAAAGTTCGTTACTGCATCTTCAAGCAAGAAGTTCGGGGAAGTTATTCGGGCGTATTCGCCAGACCGCAGGACTTCTGCGACGAGACCAAATTGGCGGAGAAGAGTGGTAAGGTCAGCTGCCGCCGCTACCACCGCTTCAGCAAGCACCGATTCCAGAACGTCATCATGCAGAAGATTAGAAAGTTACAGCCGGACACGACATACGTTTTCGAAGTTCTGGTCACAAAGGCCCGAGGCCGAACGCTAGCCTACGAGAAAGTTTGGGCCACAACGCACAGAAGCTGTAGTGTGTCCTATAGGAAGGGAAAGCGATGAATAACAAAGCGTTCCTCGTCACAAAAGAAAAAAATACCTGCGCGACCGGCAAGGTTGTGTTGAAACACTGTGTGCGAAGGGCAGACTATGGTAATCTGCTCATGGACTGAGGCAGTGTCCGTTATCACAGCGATCAGGTAAGGTGGGCAATATGTAGAACGCATGAAAGACTAATTTCGATCCCACGGCATCACTGCTTGGTTCTAAACGCGTTATGTTAGTACGACATTCAAATACCATAGTTCTGCGAATTCGAAATGAAAATATTAGGCAATACAAGGCGTCTAAACCCAATGCCACCACTAAAAACAAAAAAATGACAATCGCTCAGCGTTTCTCTGAAATCCGTCAGTGTCTCACGTTGCCCCTGGAAGAACTCTGCAAGTGCTTGATGTGGTAAAGCGATGAGTCAGGTCTGTATTTACTAATGCAGTACGTATTTACTGTTGTGGAGAATTTGACTATTTGGATAGCGTCGTATTAGTTAAACTCCTGCTTAAAAGTTGTTGAATTTAAGCATATTGAATGCACTACCCAGAGATATAGAAGCAGGCGTCAATATAGAGACATGAGTGCGGACCGGTTGTATGATTGCTAAACTGTTCCATTTTGTTACTTGTTGCAATGGCTAACGTTTATGCACATCATTTCGTTGACTATAAATATTCTCGCAGCCATTGTGCGTCGAACATTTATCCAAGGTTAAGCAGCTATCCCTGCTTTCAATATTTTTTATGTAAAGCGATATTGCAACGTAAAAAAATAAGTATGTACTGGATAAATAGTAGTGACGAAAAGTATGGTACACTCTGCGATTTCATTCTTCTCTTTAACGTCGCGTGTGACAGCTCAGCATGTACTGTCAGTAAATCTGTGTTCAGCTTCCAAGTCTTTCGCAAGAGTGCGACTTCAATTGTTAAATTTATATGTTTACAAGCTTATATTATATTTAGGTATGGCCGCTTGTTTTCAGTAAGATGGTGGTTACCTGCTTCAGCACACGGAAAGGAGATTCGAAATCCAAACCAGCACTGGCTTGCGGCGTTTCGTACAAGAAAGCGCAACAATGCATTTATACTTCGCAAAATATTCACATTTCTTTCATCTGTTTTCATCACAATACATAGCATATGTCCGCCTGAGTTGCGTCGTTCATAATACCGCTGCTAGCTAGGCGCACCGCACTCCAACACCTCAATGGCGAAGTTCACACAAGCATGTCCCACTCACATATTATAAAATCAAATCGTTCGACATCGTGCCCGGAACTCTTCCTCCTCAATATTCGCATCCAGAGTCTATTACTACAATGTGAAGTTGACGTCGTATTTTTCGTGGAGGCTTCCAGCTTGTCGTCTTTTTTTTTTTCAATCATTGTTCACTGTCGCTGATTCTTCTGTCGTGCCTCGACCAACAACCCATGTCGTCTGAAGACCAAACGGCGGACAGCAACACATCTCCGAGCCATTCGCTTCACCTGTGTTGTCTTCATCATCGGAATCACCGACGATCCTACACATGAACGATGTTCTCCACGAGTAGCTGTGCGCTTGCACGTTGAACTGTGTATCGTGAAGTCGGCAGCATCGACCTCCATTAAGGAACTATTTGCTACGCAAGAAGCGACGAACTGTGTCCGTTGACTTCGCTTATCACTAAGCTTGATGCATGGGACGTAGAGATTTTGCGCTAGTCAAATACATGCCAAGGGTACACGCCCGGAACATTTGCTTTTGTCATTCCTTTCACGTTCCCAACACCTACCATTCTGTATAGTGAAGCGAAAACTACAGCTCATTTCGTTTTGACACAAATGATTTGAAATTTCATTCGGGTACGCTATCTGTTTCTCGAGATCATATTTAGCGTTCACTATGAGCTACTGACCGCTGTTCTCGTATTCAGCGTTCTCCTAAAGCCAACAACTTTCTTTTCTGCGCTTCGTAGAAGTGCATAGCCAATCACGGACGGTACATTTCACCTTTCGCTACAATTACGGGTAATACTTTCGGTACTTCCTAGTTAATTATAATACAGTGACATATGGTAGACCATGCATGCCCTTTGTTTTCGTGCAGAGAAGTTTCTCGGCAGCTTTTCTGCATACGTGTTTATAAAACATAAGGCGTAAAGATGAAAAGCTAGATTGCGGTATTATCTTCCGGAATTCGACAATGTGACACCGTATGCCAATAGTATACCTGACGTTTTTTAACCGTTACAACATTGCAAAACAAAAAGATGGACACATTTTCGAAGACCAGCCTGTACAGCCCTGTAAGTGTTGTTAGCATTCATGATAAAGATGGTGGTGAGAATGTTGCCGCAGACAAGGTCAGCCTGGCAGGCCTGGCCTTACATGCATTCATTTGTTTGTGCAAATACGTACTACTCCTATGCTGAAAATCTCGTCTACGTGCTTCAAGAAGAATACAGTTCTAACCACTCTTTGTAAAACTATTACAGGTACCACATTTCTCCAGGATACAGACATGTTCAAACACGAATAACAAAGCTTCTATTTTTGGTTCTCTTTTAGAATTTTATTTTGTTTGTTTTCAGCTCATCTACCTATTCACCAGCAGCAGAACTGCTTTTAGAATAGCGTTTACAATACACGACACACACCGAAGGCGACTAGAACAGGAACTGCATAAGTTAGATCCCGAGCTGCCATTTACGCTGAATAAAATACTAGTTCCATGGCCATCCAAAACAAATGGCAAAGCAATGAAGGTGCTGCAACAGTTCTTCGAAGAAAAAGTTTCGCGACGAATATTGAGTGGACCAAAGTTAAAAGTGAGCGTTGCGTCTACGAGTTTGTTCTGCCCATAGGAGAACTTTTGCTCTCTCCCATGTAGGACTTTATATATGTATATATGCTATTGTTTTTTATATTTTTATTTGCACCAATCAAGTGGAAAGGGGTAGCCGTAGCCAAGTAACGGTGACGAAAACTCCTTCGTTTATTTTCTATTTCAATTAAAAAAGCGTTTACGATGACTGATGCTTGGTAAGTACGTATGAGAGTTGCCATTTTACATTGACCAGGGCCTTATTCAGCTAGCAAGGAAAGGCTGCGAGTTCAGTGAAGGTCATGTTCAAATATGTCAACTAATTTTCACGTAGTAATCGGTACAACGCTGACATAAAAAAATCTAAACATCGTATAGTGAGTATTTTTATTGTATCTTTAGTGCAAAAGAGTTTTTTTTAATATTTATGGTACGCAACGAAACTGTTTTCTAATCTAGATTTCTCTCTGCGGCAGAAATTGGATGACGAGAAATTGAAACGAATATTTTCTTCGTCATTACATTTCAGCTAATTACATTCAGACTAATTTATTCACAGCACAGGTTGTTTAAACGAATTTAAACTTACGGTTTAAACTTATTTCCTTACGGTTTCCACAAGGAAATCATGTGAATTTGGAACAAACTATGAACACGGTGCCCGTTTCGATATATGCATCGAACCCTGCCACAACATGTATTCGTCTTTTAGTATAATTTTTAATTAAATGCGTAACTATAAGCGTTTTTTTAAGAGGAACAGTGTATTTTTACGGAAAGATTGTCAGTCAAATGTCTCTAAAATGGCGCATAGTTTGCTAACTCGTTCCAAGTGCACGTGGCTTCTAAAACGACACTTCAATTCATGTAGCGCGCTCTATGATATGCAGTATAGCAATCATTCGTGAAATATTTCGTTTGTAAGAAGACCATGCGTTAATATTTTGTACATATAATGCAATAATCTGCTAGCAATTCAACATCATGAAAAGATTCCTGATAAGCGGCGCCGTAAGGTTCTTTGTTCTTATGTCAATGTTGAAAAGACTAGCTATGCAGAGCTGTTAAATCAGCAAAATTATCTATAATATTGGTAGCTAGGCAAATCTTGCTTGCACAGATGGCTCAAATGGTTTCGCGAGTACGATTTAGGCGGACATTTATAATCTGCGAGGTCCATTAATCGAATCATCTGTGCGTGATCGAACGTGATCGGCAAGGTAACAGCAAGAGCGGTATACATTGGATGTAATGTAGGCATCACAGGGGCTCTTCTAGTATATGCGTTGATCAAATGTACCACATTGTGAATGCATTTCGCTAATGACTTGTTATAACTATACCATCTTGTTCCCGCAGCTACAGTTCTCGATTTATATGGGGGGGGGGGGGGGGTTAACGTCTCATAACTATAGCATATCATTATGACAGACGCTGTATTGGAGGGCTCCGGAAATTTCTGCCATCTGGGGTTGTTTAACTTGCACCCCAATCTGAGCACACGGGTCTACAGCATTTCCACCTCCATGAAAAATGCAGCCGCTGCAGCCGCGATTGGATCCCGCAACCTGCGGGTCAGTAGCCGAGTACCTTAGCCACTAGGCCACCACAGTGGGGCGCAGATACAGTTCTCGCTGCTCTATTTTCTAAGTACTCCTGACACCAAAAAAGAAACCTCGAAATGTTTGCGTGGTTTGATTTATTGTCCTGTACACATAGGCACTTCTGATCGATTATTAGTGACAAACATTGCATTTAAGGTATATTATATTGGTTTTTTTAAGTAATCGTTAGTGCTTGTCTGAGTTCGCAGCACCTATTTTCGATGGAGGCGGAAATTTGTAGGCCCGTGTGCTCAGATTTGGGTGCACGTTAAAGAACCCCAGGTGGTCTAAATTACCGGAGCCCTCCACTACGGCGTCTCTCATAATCATATAGTGGTTTTGGGACGTTAAACCCCACATATCATCATCATCAGTTCGCAGCACCTCGCGACATCGCATTAAATACATACCACGATGTTTTCAGAGGAAAAGAAAAACACATCGAAAGCACTAAAAACATAGCTAATGAGGAGAGGATAAAAAAGTATAATATTAAGTCGAGGCGTCGGTATTCTTCATTTCTCGCCATGTCTCGTTGGTAGCCCACTGCTCCCTTCCTTAGTTCTGCTAATTTTCTGAGTTTGGTCATACTATTTTTTTACTTCTCAATTTGTGTTATGGTCATATAGGCCTTCAAGAACTCGGATTACAATATTCAGTTTCCATTGTTGCCCTTGCCCTATGTGTCCCTTCATTATTTGGGGCACCCTTTGTCTGCCATGATTGTTTTGGGAACCAGCTCATGGAGCTGTTGTTGATGCATAAGGAACACTGTATTACAGGGTAAGTCACAATTCTGAAGGGGCCCATGTGAAGGATGGGCTCGTAGGGCACAAAAAAGGTAAGAATTAACGCGTCAATAGATGGCCGACTCCTGTTAAAGCTTTTACGACTATGTTGGAATGAACATTCTATTCACAGCAGTCTGCTCACTAAGCAGTTCCAACGACAAAAAAATATTTACGGCTATTTGCTTTTTAAAGCAAATTATGCGGGACATTTTTTTGCACTACAACTTTTTCATGTCACCGCGCAAGCGTATTTAAAGCTGTACTTCTACGGAGTGGGGGCATTGTTTATATATTTATTTATTTATTTTTCACGAGTATGCACAAAGACAAAGAGGGAAAAGGAAGACAGCAGGCTGGCAACTGCCACTTAGAAGGGCACCACATCTGCCCACTTTTTAGGGAGGAGGGAATAATAGATAGTGATTGCGAGCAAAATTACAGTGATTTGTCTCACGCTTTAGTAGCTTTCTCCTTACCTACAATCATACGTGAACGCGCCGAAAGCTACGCTGCAAGGGAGGAGGGAATGACAAAGGGGCAAGAAGCTACGTTCATTTGACAGTGCGCATCATGACCTTCATTGCTTCTTTTCTTTCTTTCGTTTTTCTTCTAACACGCTGCTTATTTTCAGTGTGATCGCGAGTGTGTGCACAAGCACATCGCGACGTAACATGGTGGTAGTGATAACTATGCAACTCATAAGGCTCAAATGAGCCAACGGCCGTGACTGGGTTTACGGTGGGGACACTTATTCATAGGATCATATTTGCAGAGAAAAGGGTGTGATTTCAAGCTAAGTTTGAGAATTAAACGGGTTCGGCTACACAATTTGAGCATGTCCTTTTCGTCGGTGCTGGAGAATGCGCCGAGATCGTTTCATATGTGGAATCGCCATAATCGAAGCTATGTAAGTTAAATTCACGGGATAAACTACCTTGAATTCAGACTCTGGCGACGTACAACGCCTATTTTTCGTTGTGTGGCGTAACACCTCTCATGTGATAGCGACAACAAAGGCCGTTCGTTTTTGATTGGCTGGACGTGGCAAGTAGCATGCCATATTAATAGCGTGCCATATTGGTTGCTGCCTACACAAGCGAATGCTAAAAAATGATTAAAACCCTTTTTATAGTTTTTCAGAAGGAAATAATTCTGTTTTTAAATGATGTTTTCTTAGAACAACGAACATGACACTTTGGCCACATTCACATTTGAGAACGGAAGCGCAAACGAAAATGCCAGAGCGGCCAGAAAACCACGTTGGCACACGTGAAAAATGTTCACATTCATTCTGCCCCTCGTGCATGCCCCCACCGCCGCCGCCTTCACCACTTTGAGAATTCATTCGATTTCGCCTCTTTTCTGAGCACTGCATTTCATGCGCAATCCTATTTATTCACGCAAAGTACTGAACAGAAACATCTCGCACCTTTTCAAGTGTTGTTTTGGCATATACGCCGGCTGAAACGACACGAGCGAATGCAGCAGTAGTGGCGGATTCAGCCGGCTGTGCAAAGGCGAGAAACGTTGGGGC